TTCCTTCTTCAGTGGGTGTAAATCCTATGGTAATGTGATTAAAAATAATTATTATTGTAATATTTCTTTTTTTTTTTTATATTGAATTAATCTTTAATTAATTTTAATTTATAGATTACAATTTGTAGTGTTGCATATTCCATCGCAAATTTTATTATTAAAGATGATCAAAGAACAGGAAATATCTGAGAAAATATCCGAGAAGAAATTTCCTAACTGCTGATTGTTTATTATTTTCACTTTTATGTATTTTTCATTTATAATAATTTATATTTGGAATAAGACTAAAAATTAAAATTATGGTCAAAGCGCCCTTCTCGGTTCACACTTTATTTGAGCCACTTTTAGATTATTCAGCATTTTTAATTTTTCGGATGAAAGAATTGAATAAAAGAAATATTTAAGATCGTATATTAAAACCATAGTATACGAAATTACTTTTATCTATTATTATATTATCACCTTTAGTTGTTTTACACCCATCCAATGGAGTAATTAATTTACCATGAGTTACATATTCGTAAAAGAAGAATCTTTTGTATTGAATCATTTATTAATTTTTGTTGAATCCTTCGAGTTTTTTTCGTTTTGACCCAACCGTACCCTTAGGTTGAGTAGAATGATAGAGAAAATTGTGAGAATTGTTATATGATATTGACTTAAATTGAAACAATTTAGTAAATTCACAATAGATTATATATATTATATTGATCTCCGAGACTTAAAGAATTCTTAAGAAATTATTACCTAGATAAATATTGTATTGTTTCAAATTTGTTTTAAATTAAAAATATTTTAGCCTAAGACTTTACTATCTAAAGGCAATTTATCTGAACATCTGAATAGGAAACAGCTTATAACTACCCATAGTTAATATATGAAATTAAACAAAGATAACGTTCTTATAAGTTTTTTTGATCTAGTTGATATTTATGATAAAGAAACTATGGTGGTGTTGATTTATAAAGGATATATTTGAATATAAGGGACTTAAGATGGAACCTGGTTTTTTTTTTTAACTTTTCCTTTCTAATTTTTGTATAGTTCAATTCTTGATAAAATAGATTTATATTCCTCTTGCTTCAGTTTACAGATGTCAACTTTTTACTTGCGACGCTTTCAATATTTTTAAGAAAATATCAGTGAAAAATTACTTGACCTGGACAAATTTTTATCTTTAGCTTTCTGATATGATAAAGCCCAAATTTATGGCGGTGAACATAAAGTAGATTTGCTTATACGGATATAAGAAAATTCACATAATTTTAAAGATTTAGTTCTATAGATATGTTTAGAAATAAAATATCGTACTTGAGAAAGCCCACATAACAGGAAAACTATATAAAGAATAATCTTATCAAAGATTCGAAACCAAATTTATCTTAATACACAGCGAAACTAAATGTTTTTTCCCCGCATAATTTTAGAGATATATATATTAAAAAAATTATTACATTTATTATTACATATTTCACAATTTAATTAATTAAAATAATATTTAAAAATTTGTAACGAGTTAAATATATCTTCAAGATATCGTGATTTACTGATATACTGTGTGTGATATAATAATGTACTAATTAATCTTCAACGTCGCCAAAGTATTACGTAATGACATTGTGGCAAGTTGTGCGTGTATTGATTGATTTCCTAAATCAATAAAAGAGTTCGTTTTGGGATTAAAATATATGTTTTCATATACGATTTCATCTTCACCTTCATATTCATCTTCATATTCATCTTCGTATTCATCTTCGTATTCATATTCGTATTCATCTTCGTATTCATCTTCATATTCATCTTCGTATTCACCTTCATTCAATTGATATTCTTCTTCTTGTTGAATAAGTAGATCATAATACTAAAATTAAATTATAATTTAATTTAAAAATTGAATATAAATTTATTATGAAATTTTATATGAAAATGATAAAATACCTGCAACAAATTTTGATAATCAGAATCGTTAACATCCATTTCATTCAATTCTAATTTTATTCTTTCTAATACTTCCAAATAATCTGGACATTGAAGAAAACTTTGTTGCCTCGAATCACATCTTGGACATAATAAATCGGATATCTTGATTCCACATCCATCTTCTTCTTCATCACCTTCGTCTTCCGCTTCAATAGCAAATTGATATAAATGTTCGACTCTTGTTTCGGGATAACCACAACGACCACAAGCAGCAATATTATGATGAATATGTTTTGATTGATTACAAATATAACAAGTTTGTTGACATATAAGTGATGTACGTTCTTCAATTTTATACTTTAATTCTTTAATTTGTAATTCTAATCCTTTTAAATCTTTTAAATCTTTTAAACCTTTTGAATCTTTTAAACCTTTTAATTTTGATTGTTGAATTGATAACCATTCTTGACATGGAGTACATTCGTTAAATTTTGTGTTTGGTTGATTACAACCTTTACATTTTCCAAAGATTTTACAACGACGGATTTGTTGAAGCAAACAATTATCATTATTATTATTATTATTATTTTGTTGTTCTTGTTCTCGTTCTTGTTGCTGCGTAGTTTCTTCCATTGATGAATAATATAAAAAAATAATCAAATTAAATTTTTTTTATTTATTTAGTTGAATAATATATTTATTTATTTATATGAGATGTTGATAAATAATAATTATATTTATTATAGGATAAATAAATCGGTTATCGTTAAAGAAGAAAACACATTAAGAATTTTTTTTTTTTTTTTTTAACCATAAAAAAGGATTAATATCCTTTATATAAAAGGTTTGTAATTGATATCAATTTGAGTAACTTTGTTATTGTGATGTAAAAAGAAATTGCAAATTATAAAATAATAATTTTTGTATAATTGTTTTTTTCAGGCACAAATTTCTCTAATTGGGTAAAAACCAATTTACGTAGTCCAATGTAAACAAAAAGGGTGTATTAATTAATTATTTATTATTGTTAAAAATGCAAAATGCCAGTAAATATTGACTTTTTTTTCTATGAAAAAAAAAACAAAACCTTATCAAAATTTCTTAAATTTCTTTGCATATCATGCGCTGTACTATATGCTGAAATAAGATTTAATTGGTATTTGAATTTTTTTTTTGAATTCCGAAAATTGAAATGTGTAAAAAAGAAAATGTAAGAAGAAGAAATGTAAGGGAAAAAAATGGATGTTGTGCTATATTGAAATTTTTCTATCGAATTTGCAGTAGAACAGTTCGATAGATTAATATTTTAATTTTATTGACAATCAATTAAAATAAATATACTACATATTTAACTAAATTTATTTGTGGATAGACATTTATGGAATGTTGACCTTTGTTTCATTATTTTGGAATGAAAAAAAAAACCTAATCTAAAGAAAAGATCTAATAATTATAATTAATTATATTTTGAGCAGTTAAATTATTCTTGCTCCTCGCAAATGAAAAAAAAAAAGAACCAAAGAGATTTGAGAACTTTTAGTTCTATATTTAGCGATTAAATCTTGGCACATGATTATAATAATAACAAAATAACAAGTAATAACAATCACAATAATACCATTATTATGATGAGTATTATCACGAAAAAAATGTGTTTAATTTTATTCCCCCCTTGATCATGATGATGATGAGAGAAATAAGAAATAAGAGAAATAATGAACGCAAAAAAAAAAAGAAGAAAGTTAATTAAGTATGTTCAAAAAACTAATGCAAAAAAATTTTTATGTTGTGACTTATTGATATTTTAATTTAGGAATCGGTATTTATTATTAATTTTATTAAATTTTTTAATTATTAATAATATTTGAATCATTAGTATATATGATCTCTATAAATTTCATTATAGTGCATACGTGCATCTCTTAGTATAAAATTATAAATATCTTTGAATTTTTGTTAAATTTTTTTGTCCTAAATCCTAAATCAGATTGTGACCTCACAAAGAAAAGAAGATAAAGAGAGGGTGAGAGTTTTAAAGCAAAAATGAAATAAATACCCCCAAAACTAATATGAACTCTTTCATCTTTTCTATCTTTACTGGGATAATAAATAAATTATATATTGTCTTCAAAATCGGAAATTAGAGTTAACCGTTAATTTATATTATAAATCGATTTGCCTGTAAATAATTCGTGAAACCCAAAAATAAAATTTGTGATTGGAAAATATTTTAAACAAAATTAATTAATTGTTACAGACTAAAAAATTTGCGATCAAATGAAAAATCGGATGTTATGATGTTGTGACGAGATGCATCTTCTAGTTAAAAACAAATATCCAACTTTAAAATTAAAAATTCTTTAATTAGCCTCTTTTTCTTTTCTTATATCCGATCATATTATTTATTATTTTAAGATTATATTATTAATTTTATTTTAAAACTTTGATTTCAAATTTAAATAAAAATATCCTTTACTCCTTTTCACTTTTCAGCGACGAGTCTGCGACTTAAACTAAAAATATTATTATTCTAATAATAATAATATTATTATTATTTTCGTTCATTTTTTTTAAATCATTTTCTTCTTTACATAATAATACTAAAAAATATAAAAATATAATAAAAATTGTTTCAAAATCTGTATTTTTTAATGCAAGAATTAACTCTTCTCTTATGAATAAAACAAATAAATATGGTATTCGAGATATCGATCATTATCAAACAGTATATCATCACATGTAAAGAGAAGGTAAGAACGAATCTTTTGAATTTAAACTTTTATTGCAGGTTGTTTTTTTTTATTTAATTTTTATTTTATTTTCGATATATTTTATATTTATTTATACTGTATATCTATTTATATTTATTTATATTGTTGGAATTTACCTCAACATAAATGTATTTTTTTTGATTATCACCAGATCATAGGCTTAACGAAGGGTGATGCTTTAAACCCAAAATTATAGTGATTTACTGCAGATCATAGGAGGATCACCACTTATTAACGGTGTTTGTTTACGTTGTACAGGCACTTTCCAGGATTTTTTACCTTATATAAATATATTGAATTAGCATAGGGAAAGTCTATTCGTTTTACAATAATGATCAATTAAATTATGATCGTTCATATGATGAGTCTTCAAATGACTTAATGAATGACGATTTTGAAGCTTGTTCTTTATATTCACTAGCCTGATCCGATTTGATCCAATTCCCTATAAAGTTTACTTAGAAGCATTTTTTTATAACAATTGATTATATAGGCTATATAAAAATTATTACTGTTTGCAGGGCAGGTAAAGTTAATTTTACCATTTTTAGCATTTTAAAATATATTATTAGAACGAAACTTAACAATAATATTATTTATTATTATTATTATTATTAATTATTATTACTATTAATATTATTAAGTGAATACTTTGTATGGATATAGCAAATATCGAAGATTCGAGATATTACCATATGTTAACATTGTTAAGTGACGTTAAAAATTTTTTATATACTTCTTGACTTTCATTTATTTCTATTTCTTCTATTATTTCATTTTCTTCTACTGAAACATCCTCTTTCTCTTTTCTTTCTTCAGAGGTTAAGTAGAACTATTATATATTTCCTGGGACAATTTTTCAGTATCCCAGTAGTTTTATATCTAAAATTGATTTTTGACCGTATCCAAACTGATCCTGATATACTTTATATAATAATTAACATTATCCTAGAATTGATTTTTAACTAGATTAGAATTATTCCTGATATGTAATATTTTTTGATACCCTTTTTGAATGATGTGTGATTTATTTTTTTGACCACATCTGAACTACTATTATACTATTTCCATTCCATTTTTGTTTTAAATATTATCTACTATATTTTAGGTAAATTAATCTTAAAATTTAATTTTAAATTATTCTACTATATTTTCAATTTTATATGGATACCAAAAAATTATGATGATATGGATATATCACCAAAATTTTGATATCAAAAAAGTATTTATTATTATATTACCATTGTATCATCTTATAAATATCAAATTAATATATATCATCTTTTTTTTATAATATCATTACTATATATAGTAAAAATTTAATTTGAACAAAAGATTTTATATATGTATAATATAAAATTCTTAGCACTAATCAATATATAAATGGTAGTACATATATGTGAAAGATGTGAAAAAGATTTTCTTAAATTAGCTAAACTTTGTATTTATCTAGAAAGAAAAAACCAATGCAAGTTCAAACTAATTTCTGATCCTTTACTTGAATCTATTACTAATTAAACTAATTCATCAATTTCTTTAAATGATAATATATGGTTTAACTCAATGGAAGAATACTTTAATGTAAATTCTGATAAAATATGGTCAGAATTATCAGAAAATCTTTTATTAGATAAAGTAGAAAAAAAAATAACAGATAATTGAGATATAATAAGAGAAAATTACATATTACCTGATGGGACATTATTATTTGAAGAATGCGAAAGAGCTATAAACCCTTTTAGACAACACAGAAACTTTTCAACAATGAGTTTGCAGCAAGCTGTAATCTCATCTTTGAATAATATAAATTATAGCTTTAATAAATATGTAAATAATTCTAAAAAATATTCAAAAGTTTCATATATGCCAAAACTAATGGTATTAGTAAGAAATCAAATAACAAAGGTAATTAAAACAGAATTTTGAAGAAAGATCAAATTAAATTAGCTATAGATACTTATTATATATATCATAAAGTAAAAAGTAAAAAGGACAAACCTTCTACATATGAGTTTAGATATTGTTGACTGTGATTACCTTTACTAAACACGATTAACTAACAACTAATAACAGGGAAACTATTATCCAAAAGATCACAAAGCAATTGGACGAATATGTTATAGTTGGAAGGTTTTATACTTGGAGAGGTATAAAGGGTAAA